TCGACATAAAAGCGGAGAAGACGCCTGAAGGAAGAGAGGAAAGAAAACCATTGAGGGCAACCAGAAAAAGGGTAGTGCTCAGAACACTACCCTGGGGCACACCTTCGTATTGCTGAAAAGAGGCAGAGAGAGCGGTACCAAGGCGCACCCGAAAGGAATGAAGAGAGAGGAAGCTGTGGAGAAAGAAAGGGAGACGACCACGAAGGCCAAAAGAACGAAGCTGGGATAGAATATGATATCGCCAAGTGGTGTCGTAAGCCTTTTCCAGGTCAAAAAGGACTGCAACAACGGAGGTCTTCGCAGCAAAAGCAGTACGAATATGGACCTCCAAGTTCACCAAGACATCTGTTGTGCTGCAGCTCTTGCGGAAACCAAATTGAGAAGGAGAGAGGTGGTGATGGTGTTCTAAGAACCACATCAGACGAACGTTAACCATACGTTCAAAGAGTTTGCAGACACAACTTGAAGGGAGAAATTACAAGGAGGCACAGAATCAAGAGGGAGGAGGTCAAAGTATATGGCCCACGAAGCGGGACCAAACAAGGCCTGATACACATCAGCATGGGAAGGAATTGAGGGAGTGCAGCCGTGTCAAGGACGGCATTGAGAACCCCCAGAGAGAGGGGTTAAAAGGCGCAGTAGTCAACTAGAGACTGACCCGTGCCAGGAGACGAGGTGGTCACCACTGGGGGCTTGGGGGCTCGACCCAACCACAGAGGAAAGAGGGGAGCCGAGGGGAGTAGTCAGGAGGGACAAAGGAGGACCAAGGTCGGGGCCCAACGCAGCGGGGGCTACAAAGCCCGGTCTTTCAATAGAATCGGGGGCTTTGTCGCCCACCCCACGAGCCTGAGAGGGTACAAGAGGAACATTCATCAACATTAATATGAAAAGAAACACTTTCATTCACGAATGTGCCCTCACACCCACCATGGAGCCACAATTAGAGGCAGGACACCCAACAAGAAGCTATCGCCGATCAAGCATGGGCCCCCTAGGGATGCGTCGTGAGTATACGCCCCACAATCGCCACCTTAAGAACCGTCAGTCCGTCGAGATCGAGTTCAGTGACGAAATGAGGATTGACAATAAAAGGTTTCCCTTGCTCGAGACGTTGGGTACAACAGTTCTACGGGTGCAAGAATATGTCTCCTCAAACACCCGGACATCAAAACAAAAGAATGATCAAAACAGGCACAAGGTCAGCAGGAAATGAAACGAGAAAGGAGAAGAGGGGGGGAGAAAAACGAAACAAAAGGAAAAGGAAAAGGCATCCAGCAAAATTAGTGAGGACAGCACCAGGAGCACAAGGCTACAAAAGGACAGGGGGACTGCCCCAAGGAGCATCACACTCTGGCAGCCGCCCACCAAGCCCCCTCACGGCAGCAACGAGCTGGACAGGGAGGGGGTTATATATATAAAACAGTATGGGTCCAAGGGCTGAACCCGTCGGGACCCCACTGGTGATGTCTCGCCAATCTGATACCCCGCCCCGCACAGTGACTCACTGCCTTCTGTTACTTAGGTACTCCCTTATCCAATGGAGTACCTTCCCTTTCACTATTGCCTGTATCTCCAGATTTTGCACTAGTCTCTGGTGTGGCACTGTGTCAAAGGCTTCTTGGTAATCCAAAAATATGCAGTCTGCCCACCCCTCTCTTTCTTGCCCGATTCTTTTTACCTGATCGTAGAATTCAATTAATCCTGTGAGGCATGACTTGCCATCCCTGAATCCATGTTGGTGTTGTGACACAAAGTTCCTTCGCTCCAGATGTTCGACTAGCTTTTTTCGCACAATTTTCTCCATTAGCTTGCATAGTATGCAAGTTAGGGACACTGGCCTGTAGTTCAGTGCCTCCTGTCTATCCCCCTTCTTGTATATCGGGAATACATTTGCCACCTTCCAAATTTCTGGCAGTTCACCTGTTACCAGTGATTTGTTATACACCATGGAGAGTGGCAGGCAGTGCTTCTGCTCCTTTAGTATCCATGGTGATATTCCATCTGGGCCTATAACCTTTGTCACATCCAACTCTAGCAAAAGCTTCCTTACATCTCCACTGGAAATCTCAAATTCCTCTAGTGGTGCCTGGTTAATTATGCCTTCTCTTATCTCTGGAACTTCTCCTTGCTCTATTGTGAAGACTTCCTGGAATTTCATATCGAGTTCCTCACACACTTCTTAGTCATTTGTAGTGAATTTGTCTGCCCCTATCCTCAGTTTCATTACCTATTCCTTCACTGTTGTCTTTCTCCTGATGTGGCTGTGCAGCAATTTGGGTTGGGTCTTAGCCTTGCTTCTATGTCTTTTTCATATTGCTCTTCTGCCTCTCTTCTCACCCTGACGTATTCATTCCTGGCTCTCTGGTAACCTTCTCTGCTCTCAAGTGTCCTGTTATTTCTATAGTTTCTCCATGCTCTTTTTCTTTGTTGCTCAGCTAGCTTACATCTCTGATCAAACCATGGGTTTCTCATCTGCATTTAAGTTTTTACCTTTTGGGCCGGGATAAACTTTTCTGCTGCCTCCTTGCACTTCTGCGTGATGTATTCCATCATGTCTTGGGCCGTCTTTTCCCTTTAGCTCTGATTCCCATGTTACATCCGTTAGGAATTTTCTTATCTCCTCGTAATTTCCCTTACGGAATGCTAGCCTTTTGCTTTCAGTTCCCTTTCTCGAGTACTTTAGCCCTTCTTCGACCAGATACTCAAACGTCAGTACACTGTGATCGTTCATTCCTACTGGGGCCTCGAAGTCAATTTCCCTTATGTCGGAGACATTCAGAGTGAAGACAAGGTCGAGACTCGCTGTGTGTGCGCGCGCGCGTGTACTCACCTATTTTTGCTTCTGGAGGTTGGGCTCTGGCTCTTTGGTCCCGCCTCTCAACTGTCAATCAACTGGTATTGACCTGCCTCTCTTCTCACCCTGATGTATTCATTCCTGGCTCTCTGGTAACCTTCTTTGCACACAAGTGACCTGTGTGTGTGTGTGTGTGTGTGTGTGTGTGTGTGTGTGTGTGTGTGTGTGTGTGTGTGTGTGTGTGTGTGGAGTAGATCAACTCCCAGAACTCACTCCAGGTATACAACAGGTAAGATCACCGGAAGGGAGAGCTCAAGTGGGTACAGAAGAAGTGTTCATTTCCGGGGAGAGAGAGAGCGCGCGAAGGGTTTCACCGACGTGCAGGACTCACTCCCTCTGTCTCTCTTTGTCTCGTTGTCTGTCTCATACTAGGCTTCTCTCTGACTCCGCGCGTGTGTGGTGTGGTGTGCGTGTGTGGTGTGCGTGTGCGGTGTGGTGTGCGTGTGTGGTGTGCGTGTGTGGTGTGCGTGTGTGGTGTGCGTGTGTGGTGTGCGTGTGTGGTGTGCGTGTGTGGTGTGCGTGTGTGGTGTGGTGTGCGTGTGTGGTGTGCGGGTGTGGTGTGCGTGTGTGGTGTGGTGTGGTGTGCGTGTGTGGTGTGGTGTGGTGTGCGTGTGTGGTGTGGTGTGGTGTGCGTGTGTGGTGTGGTGTGGTGTGCGTGTGTGGTGTGGTGTGGTGTGCGTGTGTGGTGTGGTGTGGTGTGCGTGTGTGGTGTGGTGTGCGTGTGGGGTGTGGTGTGCGTGTGTGGTGTGGTGTGCGTGTGTGGTGTGGTGTGCGTGTGTGGTGTGGTGTGCGTGTGTGGTGTGTGTGTGCGTGTGTGGTGTGGTGTGCGTGTGTGGTGTGGTGTGCGTGTGTGGTGTGGTGTGCGTGTGTGGTGTGTGTGTGTGTGTGTGTGTGTGTGTGTGTGTGTGTGTGTGTGTGTGTGTGTGTGTGTGTGTGTGTGTGTGTGTGTGTGTGTGTGTGTGTGTGTGTGTGTGTGTGTGTGTGTGTGTGTGTGTGTGTGTGTGTGTGTGTGTGTGTGTGTGTGTGTGTGTGTGTGTGTGTGTGTGTGTGTGGTGTTGTGTGGCGTGCGTGTGTGGTGTTGCGTGGCGTGTGTGGTGTGGTGTGCGTGTGTGGTGTGCGTGTGTGGTGTGCGTGTGTGGTGTGCGTGTGTGGTGTGCGTGTGTGGTGTGCGTGTGCGGTGTGCGTGTGCGTGTGCGTGTGCGTGTGTCAGTGTATACAGACTAGGATTCATCGGTAATTATACTGATGTTCATAATGAAACTGCAAGCTAAGGGCTGATTTTCTGCATCAGTTCATCATAAGTCTGGCGCTGGAAACTGAATTAATGTTTATTATTAGTTTTCAGCAGGAATATTTTTATTTTTATGTTAGCTATGCAAGTTACAGGATAACTGCGTACCAGAACCTTCTTATGGTTGGTTGACTTGAGCTCATGGTTAACTTGATTTCATGGTTGACTGAGGACATGTTTTATACGTTAGTCAGCGATGGAATGAAAGATTGCTGATGGTGTGACTTTCTTGAGAATGACGTAGTAAGTATTGGCCGAGTATCTTGTATAGTGGTTGCCAAGTTCTTGTTGTCCACGATGTTGGGCCAGGTGGGAAACTTTGAGAACATTGGCCATATATGTTCTTTGTTAGCGGCAAAGATCTGCCCGTATGTTCCAGATCAAAAAGTGCTTCGAGTTCATCTGAATCTCTCTGTATGAGATACTGGTTGAGGTCTCCAACAGTTGTTATGTGCTGGCAGTTAAGCTGGATTACCAATACGTCAGCACTGTCCATCCGGGAGGGAAGGGAAAAGGAATTATCAGGGGGGGGAATCGCCAAGCCATTACGATTAGATACCACTGGGAAGGGGTCAGGATAAGGATTTGGGATGGGACGGGAGGGAATATCCATCCGCAAGTTGATTAGGTGTACACTCTATCACTGAGGTCTGTACATTGTCCACCAGAATAATTCAGGAACATAATTTTCAGATGAACAGAAATGACAGCATCAACAGGTTGGGCGTGTGTACATTGACTGAAGCAAACTTCAATCCCCCCATCCTTGGCCCCCATTTACAAGCACCCCCTTCCCCCATCGCAACCCCCCCCCCATAATGACCATCAATAACAACCTCTCTCTCTCTCACACAGGTGATTCGAGCAGCCAGCCCTGTGCTTCTGTGCATCATCATCCTGGGAGCCTGCTTCATCTACTCCACGGTGAGTGACCTCCGCTCACCTTGCTCTTACTCTTAGTTATTATAATTTATCAGCAAGACAAATAATTGCACTTGTATTTTGCAATTGCTACTTGTATTTTGTATTAAATATTTACACTCCCGATATTTGTGAAGCCACATTGGGAGACCAATTAGAGTATGATTAGGTAAACATTAGTATATAGCTCTAAGACAGTACCGCCGTGTAGCATTAGGAAGGGTTGTGAGCACACAGGAGATGGGGTTATGATATGGTGAAGGTGCGGGGGCCAGCCTCTGGCTCCATCGGGGATCGAACGTGAAGTTCCAGCAAGTAGTGGGGCCGTCGATCGGATTCTACACTCTTCATCACCACTCTCTACAACCCCACACCCCACGCACAACCCCACACCCCACGCACAACCCCACACCCCACGCACAACCCCACACCCCACGCACAACCCCACACCCCACGCACAACCCCACACCCCACGCACAACCCCACACCCCACGCACAACCCCACACCCCACTACATCTTTCAATACCCTATTGTATCCAGCATTATATTTGCGTTAAACAGGTTAAGAAAATTTTAGCAATTTGCAGCAATTTACTGTTTAATGCAATTATGCTCAAAGGAAGACTTTTGTATTAAATAAATTTTATTTATAAAGCCAAGAAATCAGACACCTTTAAATTTCATTTGATTTTAATCCAATTTGTTGCTCAGAAGAAAGTTTCTCTGTCTCCTCACTAATGAAGGGAAGATCTTGTGTTTGGTTTAAGAGTCCTGAATAATTGTGCTCTCGGAGGCAGACGTGAAGATTATTGCTATTGCGAGAGACTGTTAGTGAGGATAGGGTATAGGTGATGGGGGATACTGTGTAGGGTGGTGGGGGGATAGGATGTAGGTGGTGGGGGGATAGGATGTAGGTGATGGGGGAAAGGGTGTAGGGTGGTGGGGGGATAGGATGTAGGTGTTGGGGGATAGGATGAAGGTGGTGGTGAGATAGGGTGTAGGTGGTGGTGAGATTAGGGTGTAGGTGGTGGTGAGATTAGGGTGTAGGTGGTGGTGAGATTAGGGTGTAGGTGGTGGTGAGATTAGGGTGTAGGTGGTGGTGAGATTAGGGTGTAGGTGGTGGTGAGATTAGGGTATAGGTGGTGGTGAGATTAGGGTGTAGGTGGTGGTGAGATTAGGGTGTAGGTGGTGGTGAGATTAGGGTGTAGGTGGTGGTGAGATTAGGGTGTAGGTGGTGGTGAGATTAGGGTGTAGGTGGTGGTGAGATAGGGTGTAGGTGGTGGTGAGATAGGGTGTAGGTGGTGGGGGATAGTGTGTAGGTGGTGGGGGGGATCGTGTGTAGGTGGTGGGGGGGATCGTGTGTAGGTGGTGGGGGGGATAGTGTGTAGGTGGTGGGGGGGATAGTGTGTAGGTGGTGGGGGGGATCGTGTGTAGGTGGTGGGGGGGATCGTGTGTAGGTGGTGGGGGGGATCGTGTGTAGGTGGTGGGGGGGATAGTGTGTAGGTGGTGGGGGGGATAGTGTGTAGGTGGTGGGGGGGGATAGTGTGTAGGTGGTGGGGGGGATAGTGTGTAGGTGGTGGGGGGGATAGTGTGTAGGTGGTGGGGGGGATAGTGTGTAGGTGGTGGGGGGGATAGTGTGTAGGTGGTGGGGGGGATAGTGTGTAGGTGGTGGGGGGATAGTGTGTAGGTGGTGGGGGGATAGTGTGTAGGTGGTGGGGGGATAGTGTGTAGGTGGTGGGGGGATAGTGTGTAGGTGGTGGGGGGATAGTGTGTAGGTGGTGGGGGGATAGTGTGTAGGTGGTGGGGGGATAGTGTGTAGGTGGTGGGGGGATAGTGTGTAGGTGGTGGGGGGATAGTGTGTAGGTGGTGGGGGGATAGTGTGTAGGTGGTGGGGGGATAGTGTGTAGGTGGTGGGGGGATAGTGTGTAGGTGGTGGGGGGATAGTGTGTAGGTGGTGGGGGGATAGTGTGTAGGTGGTGGGGGGATAGTGTGTAGGTGGTGGGGGGATAGTGTGTAGGTGGTGGGGGGATAGTGTGTAGGTGGTGGGGGGATAGTGTGTAGGTGGTGGGGGGATAGTGTGTAGGTGGTGGGGGGATAGTGTGTAGGTGGTGGGGGGATAGTGTGTAGGTGGTGGGGGATAGTGTGTAGGTGGTGGGGGGATAGTGTGTAGGTGGTGGGGAGATAGTGTGTAGGTGGTGGGGGGATAGTGTGTAGGTGGTGGGGAGATAGTGTGTAGGTGGTGGGGGGATAGTGTGTAGGAGGTGGGGGGATAGGGTGTAGGTGGTGGGGGATAGTGTGTAGGTGGTGGGGGGATAGTGTGTAGGTGGTGGGGGGATAGTGTGTAGGTGGTGGGGGGATAGTGTGTAGGTGGTGGGGGGATAGTGTGTAGGTGGTGGGGGGATAGTGTGTAGGTGGTGGGGGATAGTGTGTAGGTGGTGGGGGATAGTGTGTAGGTGGTGGGGGATAGTGTGTAGGTGGTGGGGGGATAGTGTGTAGGTGGTGGGGGGATAATGTGTAGGTGGTGGGGGGATAATGTGTAGGTGGTGGGGGGATAATGTGTAGGTGGTGGGGGGGATAGTGTGTAGGTGGTGGGAGGATAGTGTGTAGGTGGGGGGATAGGGTGTAGGTGGTGGGGGATAGTGTGTAGATGGTGGGAATAAGGTGTAGGGTGGTGGGGATAGGGTGTAAGGGGTGGGAATAAGGTGCAATGGGTGGGAATATGGTATAAAGGGTGGGGATAGGGTGTAAAGGGTGGGGATAGGGTACAAGTGGTGGGTATATAGTGTGGGTGGTGGGGATAGGGTGTGGGTGGTGGTGGATAGGGTGTAAGGGATGAAAGAGAGAGAGAGAGAGAGAGAGAGAGAGAGAGAGAGAGAGAGAGAGAGAGAGAGAGAGAGAGAGAGAGAGAGAGAGAGAGAGAGAGAGAGAGAGAGAGAGAGAGAGAGAGAGAGAGAGAGAGAGAACTTGCAAGAGGTATACTTACCTAACGGTGTTTACCTAACAGTGACTACAGGATAACGAAGGTCTAACCTTTTAACATCTGTTGCCTTTTATATAACCCTTTTCACGTTGGAGTTCCGCATCGAATCTGCTCTTAAAGTTACCGTCAGCATTAGTTTATGAACTTTAGTTGATAAACTACCCGTAATTCCCAAACAGTTTGCAAATTATGAGAACTGAGCTTCCCTCTTCTCATCAGCTCCTCAACATGGTTCAGACGGTACACACACGTGACACATTTAAGTTAACTATCTCGACAACATAGCATTCTCGAAGCTTATAATGCAGATTCAACAGGTTCTTTGAAGTCAATACAATGAGATAATCATAACTTAGTTCATTGTGTCTGGGGACCGGTAGCCAGTTTATACATACAGTACATGTTAGGCTTACTGTATGTATAACACATACTGGGGATAGAGTGGCTTACTGGCTTATATCGAGTCTCATCCAATGCAACTCCGGGACTAGCCTCGTCGCAAATTGTTTAACCTTTTCCAGTTTCCTAATGTGTATCTTTTAGTGGGTGCTCCATGATTGGACGGCATACTCTAAGACTGGTCTCACGTAGGCAGTGTAAAGCGCTCTGCATGCCTCCATACTTAGGTTTCTGAATGACTTTCTAACTTTTGCTAGTGTAGAGTAGGCTGCTGTCGTTATCCGATTTATATATGCCGTAGGAGTTAAATTTGGTGTTACGTCCACTCCCAGGTCCCTTTCTCGAATCGTCACAGGAAAGTAGTTTCCCTTCATCCTGTACTGGCCCTTTGGTCTCCTATCACCTAGTTCCATTTCCATAACTTTACATTTGCTCGTGTTAAACTCCAGTAACCATTTCTCTGACCATCTCTGCAGCTTGCTTAAGTCCTCTTGGAGGATCCTACAATCCTCATTTGTCAAAACTCGTCTCAATAATTTCGTGTCATCCGCGAATATCGACATATAGGACTCGACTCCTGTTGACATGTCGTTCACGTTACCGATGCTGGAAATTTTTTAATTGATTGTAAGTATGTTGTATACACGGACTTTTGATACAAGTTTGATTTTATTCTAATGAACTATACTTATGAGCATCAGTATCTCATGTTCTGCCAATGTTATTCGGTTTACGTGTCTCTGATGCTAGAGTTGCAATTATACCCCCCCCCCCCCTCCAAAGCCCTTTCTCTGTCAGAATTCTGACGTTAGTGATCTCTTATAACGCTAATGCTCTTCTGATCTGCACTCATCTTTTTTTTTGCTTTCATTAGTTCATACATTTTGGGATTGAACTCTTAACAGCTATTTTCTGTTCACTACGGTAATTTGTCAGGGCCATTTCTGCTATACTCTATAGTGCCCCTTAGATCATACATTGTTCTTTATCTCTATCATTTGCAAAGATTATTTCGGCTTCACTCTCACTAGTAAGTAGTTCACAGAGAGAAAAATACATCAATGGGACTAACACCGTGCCTTGTAGAACCCCAGTTTACCATGTCCCTTCGACCTGATATATCCTCTTTGATTGTGACCTTATTGTTTCTTGTCAGTTAGGTACTCCAATACCCTGCTCCATGTCATCTGTTATCCCAACTTTAGGGTGTCTAGAAAGAGGAAATTACACCCCTTTCATATCGTGTCTTGGCCATGTTATTATGTAACTCAATCATGCTGGTTTGATATACAATTCCCATTTAAAGCTGTGTTAACGCTTTGTTGCAAAGTATATCTTATGTGTGTACTACGCTCTTCTCTCCCCTAATTAAGATTTTCAGCAATATGTAAGGAATATGTTAGCGGAAATTCGTCTATATAGTTATGCATGAAACTTTCTGTTCTCAGATATTTGGGCAACATTTACCTTTTTCCAGCTTTCTGGCACCTCTATATTTTCTATAGTTCTATTCAAAGGTTCTGATTAATGAATAAAAAAAAGCCACGGTAATTCGTCCTGGTTTGTCGCTGTTGCTTCTGTTACGATTAGTTCCTCCTGGCATTTCTTTACCGGTTCTTCAGTGACTATTGAATTCTGTTACTTCTGGCCGTCTGTCGTCCCGTTTTCTTCTTAAGAGCTACTAAAACTATGGGTCTCTCAGAAAATGTATTACGATCACTAAAACTCCACGTTAATCACACTACACATTTATCTTTTGACTTCTGTCACCTAGTTTTCTTGTTACGATCTACTGAAACAACTGTATAGTTTCTCAGAAAATATATTACGATCACTTAGACTCCACGTTAGTCACACGTCATATTTCACTCCATAAAAATGACCAAGTGGAATCATTATAATTCATAATAATTCTTTAAGAATTTAACTTTATTCTACCCCGACCTTCTTAAGCCCTTCCCCTGTACACTTGCAAGAGGTTAGCCCTAGACATCTGGTATCCAACTTTCGAGAGAGAGACATTCTCTCGCATAGGTGTTAATAAGTAGAAATATTTTTATCTCTATCACACACACATATATCCGCAGAACACAGCCTATAGCAGTGTTCTAATTCACAGAGACCAATTTACTACTAGGTAAACAGAGACATCGGGTGAAAGACATTCTGGACTATTAGTTTCAATCTCGATCGGAAATCAAACCCGGATCCCTATGACTGTCTCCCGAGCATTGTCCGCTCAACCACCAAGACCTGCAGAACCTGACGAATTCTGTGTGAGAGAGAGAGAGAGAGAGAGAGAGAGAGAGAGAGAGAGAGAGAGAGAGAGAGAGAGAGAGAGAGAGAGTGTGTGAGTGTGTGAGTGTGTGTGAGTGTGTGAGTGTGTGAGTGTGTGAGTGAGTGAGTGAGTGAGTGAGTGAGTGAGTGTGTGTGTGTGTGTGTGTGTGTGTGTGTGTGTGTGTGTGTGTGTGTGTGTGTGTGCGCGCGCGCGCGAATTCACCTAGTTGTGCTTGAGGGCGGTTTGATCTCTGCTCATTCGGCCCGACTCTCAACTGTCAATCAATCAACTGTTACTACTAATTGTTTTTCCATACACACACACACACACACACACACACACACACACACACACACACACACACACACAGTGTGTGTGTGTGTGTGTGTGTGTGTGTGTGTGTGGTCTCTCTCACACGCACTAATATGAAACCTTTCAAGACATGAAAGGTTCACCCGGCAGACTCCTCCAGATGTCTAGCAGAGTGTACCTTTCATCGACTAAAAACGACCGCACCAACATGGCTCGCCACTGGTTGAATGGGCTGAAGCCACTGCAGGAGACGCTCACAGTTCGCCCCAGAAAGGCGACTTCTTGTGTGGCAATAGCTCAACCCTCCCGGCTCTTCCCTTAATCATGTCGTCTCAACCAGCGTCTTGAAAACTAGCGAGGTTAAGAGAAGTTCCCCCAAAAAAGTATTTTTATTTTTTGTATTTTTCTGTCGAATGTTTAATCTTTCAATTTCTGAAACAGGCACTAAGTCAGCAACAGGTATTAGGTGAAACTTTATGTTAGGTGCTTAATCTTGAAGATCAATAACAGCTATTGGGGTGAACCTTTCCGTTAGGTGCTTAATCTTGAAGATCAATAACAGCTATTGGGGTGAACCTTTCCGTTAGGTGCTTAATCTTGAAGATCAATAACAGCTATTGGGGTGAACCTTTCCGTTAGGTGCTTAATCTTGAAGATCAATAACAGCTATTGGGTGAACCTTTCCGTTAGGTGCTTAATCTTGAAGATCAATAATAGCTATTGGGTGAACCTTTCCGTTAGGTGCTTAATCTTGAAGATCAATAATAGCTATTTGGTGAACCTTTCCGTTAGGTGCTTAATCTTGAAGATCAATAACAGCTATTGGGTGAACCTTTCCGTTAGGTGCTTAATCTTGAAGATCAATAATAGCTATTGGGTGAACCTTTCCGTTAGGTGCTTAATCTTGAAGATCAATAACAGCTATTGGGTGAACCTTTCCGTTAGGTGCTTAATCTTGAAGATCAATAACAGCTATTGGGTGAACCTTTCCGTTAGGTGCTTAATCTTGAAGATCAATAACAGCTATTAGGTGAACGTGAGAACGCTGGCGCACACGAGTGTCTGCGATGAAGTGCTA